ATATAATGGTGTTTTAATGTTCATAACGATATACAGTAAACAAAAATATCTCACTAACTAGTGATTCGAATTTTATGGATTAGACACCTCATTGAGAGAATTCGAATGGCAGTTGTTTTTATCCAAAACGGCCAGATATTGACCGAGTTATGGTAATTTCAGTTAATTTGATGTATTACTTTATTAATAGCAATAAAAAATTATTATTATTATTATTGCTTTATAATTTTTTCTGTAAAAATTCCGTATACCTTATAATCATCATTCCATAGCAATGAAAATTATAATTCATATGGAATTTCCGAATGCAAATTCATTGAAAGGTGTTCTTGATAATTTTTTAAAAGAAGATTTATTGGATGAAGAAGTTCAGTATTCAAAAATATTAGGAATTCAGTTTGCTGGTAAGGTCTATTGTATTTATGTGTTTGTAGAGTTAATATATTATTATGTGATTAATATTTTGGTCATTACATAAAGGTCTGAATGGCCAAATAATAGGAATAGAACTTCTTGAAGATGGACTGTATTTTGGACTTGAAGCTTTATATTTTTTAAAAGTAAGATACTAACATTCTGTTGTTGTTTGTGATTAATATTTATTTATCCTTTTTATTTTTTCTATATTAGCAAAACATTGTTAAAAAATATCTGATTCAAAATGCGGATCATCCATACAATAAAATATTTCACTGCAATTCAAATACTTTAGGAGAAGCAAGGCATTTCAAGGTTAAGTTTACCCGAAAAACAGATTTTACTCCAAAAGCAAAAAGGAACAATACTACTCTAGTTGAGAAACATGCAAATTGGTAGTGATGTTAGCCGGCTAATAATCTGCATACCTAATTTCTAAATTTGGTAACAGATTCTGTGTTACTTTCTTGCTATAGAAATAAAATTACCAATTTAGGTAGTAAACGGCTTAGCCGGCTAAGGATTTTTAAATGGCCAACATCACTACAAATTAGTACCTTTGAAATTTAAAATTGACCTGAAGAACTTGGATTTTTATTAACAAAATAATAAAACGAAATAAAATCTTAATTTTTTTATAAATGTTCCGATGAAGGATTTATTTGAAATTTTCTGGTGATAATGATTGTTTAACAGTTGTTGTATGCGAATAGACTAATTTGGGGTCTCCCATATTACTAATAATATTTAATTTAAAAATTAGTGAAAGTGTTTGAGTATCATTTATTTTGAAAATGTAAGGAGCAATTTTTTCACCTTGTTCTCTCTTCAAAATACTTCTAATGGTGCTATAATTCTTTGGTTCCATAGTAGACCTGATGTAAGTGAGTTTCATATTAATTATTTTTTATATAGGGATAGCTCTATATATCACTTAACAAATGGGACATTATAAAACTAATTGTGATGATAATAACTAAACTTTGATCCTTGAAATTCTTGGTAATACTAATGTTCACTTTGTCTGGTTTTGTTGGAGTATGCCCCATATGATAAAAAATCCGCACATAATAATTTGTCATATTGATGTAACATACGCGCATGTTTGATCAACAGCCCTTCGCGACTATGAATGAATTTTTAAAATCACTACTTACAGACAATGTTTATATAAGAATAGAGAATCACCTAGAAGAACAAGTAAAGTTTACAGGAACTTTATCAATATTACATATATACAGTATACTTTAGTCCCTATAACTTTCTGCGCCATAGCGAGAAAAAATTCACAATCAAAAATGCAATATCCTTTACAAATTTTATAATAATGAAACCAATTTTTATTAACAGCTTGCTTTATTGATTAAACATTTTTAAATAAATTTAATTATAGTAAATAAATTTAAAAAGTTACACACCCCCGCATTCCACTGAATTTTCAAAAAATCATAAAATGATGAATGAAATATAAATTCAGCCTTTTTCAAAGTGAAAACCTTTTTGAGCGAGTAGCTTAAGCTTAAGGATAGAATAGCATAGAAAATATATATACAAATTTGTGAAAGAAAATAATAAAACAAAAAAGTCACACCACTTATGTTAATTAATAAATTATTTTTTTTTTAATTAAGGAATATAAATTACAAAAATAATTAAAATAAAATTAATTAAATGAAACAAAAATTTATATAATATGTATGTATATATGTATGTATGTATATTTAAAACATACCAGATGTTTGAAATTTTAAAAAAAGTTTTTTATGAAAAATAATTCAATAAATTAATATCCTTCTATATACTCTTTTCTTCTTTAACTTCACTTTTTCCACTCCTTCCTTCTTTTCTATCACAACTAATTCAAACATCCATCCACCTGTCAATCTAATCTATCCTCCAAATAATATTTTAGGACCCAACATAACACATGTTTAATGCATTGATTTCTTTAGCTAACCAAGGCCAACTAATTCCCATTCTACCTGTAAGTTTTTGTTCATATTGTAGTAATTCATACATAAATTTAAGATTCGGTTGAATTATAACATTTAGACGTCTTGCGCGAACAAATAAATATGACGATACAAGTGATCTACCAAGATGTCTCATAATATACGCTATTGTAATCGTAGCTGATCTAGAAACTCCTACTCGACAATGAATAATCACACTTCCATTCGATCTGCGTGCATTTTCTAAAAATAAAAAAATATGTGAATGTTATTATTGTTATTATTATGATTATTGATAATTAATTTGCTTTGTTTTCAAAGAATAAAAAACCTTTTTCAACTTACCGATGAAATTTACGCATAAATCTAAATGGTTCCATAAACTATCAATACCATCATCATATAAATTACCCAAATATAATACATCAAATTCCTTCCCATCCAATCTGGCGTCTTCTCCAACTGACAATACATGTGTTATTCCAAGTGCCTTGAGCATACCAGCATTACACGCATGGCTTAAATTTCCTAAATACAAAAATGGTAAGATTCTACTTGGAAAACTTCCCTCAAATTGTGACGAATAAAACCACGAAAATTTATTTGAAATCTCTATGTTGATCCTTTCATCTTGGCTAACTTTTTTCCTTTCTAATACACGTTTCTCAATATTTAACAGTGTTGTCACATCACTTGGGTACACAAAGAAACTGCGAGTTTTTTGTAGCCGTAAGTATGCTTGTGGGAGTCGTAAAGTCTCGTTGTACATGAGATATGTTAGCGCAAGGAGTGATGTCTCTGTGTATCCATCTGCACAATGAATTAGTATCTTACGATCGTCATTATTTGCTTTTTCTGAGATGAACTCACAAAGATCTAATAGTTTTGTGATTAGTGAATCATATGAAGCTGTTGAATTACATCCTACAGCTGACGACATACAATCAACATGAATTATATCTTTGATGGATATTGGCCTAGACTTTGGTATTGTGGAAAGTCCTTCGGTTAGGCGTTGAAGCGTTTCTTTATCTGGCATTTCTCCAAGATCATGTGCCTCAATACAAATACAAAAATGGTGTGGATTATCATCGATCAATGAGATCGCTGAATCTGCAGGGTCTAACTCGGTTGAAATTGGTACATCTTGTGTATTACCTAACTATAAATTATTTAGCATGTTTAATTTATTTAATATATAAGTCCTTATATTTATATTATTTTTTTATATTTACCCAAACATTTGGTGATATTTCTGATGCTGCTGTAAGAATTCTCATTTCCTCCCTTTCCTGTTCTGGAAAATTAATTTTATTACGCCAAATACCTTTATTATCTATTGCTACAACATTTAGAAAATCTTTTTCAAAAACAGAAAATGGATCTATAAAATAAATAAATAAATATTATTATGTATAATATGATATATTTAATGCATTATTATATAAATTTTTTTTTAAAAAAAATTTATACCGAGAATAACAAAAGTTTCATAATTGATTCCAATTGATCGTTGCTCTCTTAAAATTTGTTGTGCCCAAGCAACTTGTTTTGCAACTTTTAAAACATTTTCATTAAGTCCATCCTCTCCATACACAATAATATCTGAAATTGTGGCATACTTTGCAACCTGTATCTTAAAATTCCTTAGATTTATCCCTTCTCCATCAGCCACTTTTAAAAATCCTCTTATATAATTTGATCCTTCTTCGTCATTTTTGCTTTTATTATTACTACTATTATCATTACCATTATTTAGACCATTTCTACGATTCCCATTACTATTACTATTCTCATCATTATGGTTATCATCATCGTCGTCGTCATCGTCGTCATCGTCATCATCGTCATCATTAGATGATGGTGATGATGGTGGTGGAGTGGAAGGATTTAAGATGTCACTTGGAAATACCGAGCCAATTAATTGTGATCTTTCACTACCCTCATCAGCCTGAATCAATGTTATTCCGCGATGTTCTGGAACCGGACAATTATTTACGCAAAAAAAATTATTTTGTTGAACGTTCGAACCATCCACGCCGTGTAGCCATGGAAATAACATATTGTTCGGTAAGGATTGAGTATAATATGTTTCATGAATACGATAATAATGTGAAGCTGTTAAACCTCTAATAGGTGGATTTTCACTTATTATTGGAAAAACATCAAATACTGAAGGTGAATGTGAACGTGGTGTTGCAGGTGAAGAAACTGTTGTTGTTGAAAGTGGCGAGGAAGGTGGTTGTGGTGTAAATGGTGAGGCTGGATTTATTTGTTTTTCGATCGCTGTCATTTTATCTATTCTAGAATGTTTTAAAATTCTAAACAATTTTATAATATTTATTGTCTTATGGAAGGAATTAGATTTTCAAGAAAAATTTTTTTTACTAATATCAAAATATTTATATAAATCGAAACGGTTTTCTTTTTAGTAATGGTAAAGTAAAAAAAAATTTTTTAAAGAGAAAAAATTTTTCCCTATGAAATAAATATATAAATATTATACTGTTACACAGAATAGATATGAACAATAATATGAACACTTCTATTAATTACGTATTATATATGGGGTAAAAGCAGGAAAAGTAAACGTAACGCCACACACTACAATTTTTTACAATGCTTCCAATTCTTTTAATTATTCAATTCCCTCTTCCATATAAGATATTAATCCAAACACAAAATTAGGCAAACAAGTGCTGGATTGTTTTTGAGGAATCCTCGAATTTTACTGATAGGAACATGAAATGTCATTGTCGAGTTTCCCTAATTTTTTAATACACTCTTATAATAGGATATCTGCCTTTTGAATATCATCGCCTTTGAATTAAAGCATCTTTTTAGCTAACAAGATCATCTTTAAGTTGTAGTTGTCAGTTATTTTCTTGGATTCTTGTTCTACAGAAAGCAAGCTCTTTTATTTTGCCTTCTTTTTATCCTGTAGTTATTGTGGCCCTCATCTTTTCCATAGATATGTATACAAAGATGAAGCGAGGAACAGATTGAAATTATACAAGTTAAACAACAATTGCACAAAAACATACATAGCAATAAATAAATATTTTGTATATAGCTTAGATTCACCAAAATGTAAATGACCAAAAAAAAGATCATCAAATTGACTATATAGTAATGATCTGCGCTATGTATGATTGGACCATTTAATATTCACCTATCTAGACTTTGTTTAGTGCCTGTACATGAAGATCATTACATTAAAGCGTTGGGTTCTGTTATTAAATCATTCCTTTAAATAGAAAAAAACATTCTCGGATAACTTTCTAAAGAGAACCTTACCCTTCTTTAAAGAATGTTAGAATAATGCGAAAGATTTTGTTTACAGGACTCATTGGAAATAAGGAACCTTCAAAACGTATAAAATTTTCATTCTTTGATTTTAATAATCATGTAGTGTTGTCTACATAATAATAACAAATGATCTTGAATAGTAAAGAAGCTCTCCTTGACAAAGTAGAAGTAAAGAATTAGTCCTCAGTGTAAATATTTTTATTTTTATTTTCTTTATAGATTACTTGGAAGGCGAGATGTTCCAAGAGGATGTCACTATGGGCGATATATAATAAAAACAGGGAATATATAGTAACTATAGGAGTTACTATAGGCGAAATAATAAATTAGTCGTTGCTAGAATATACACGGCAAAATTAAATTGAATTTATATTTGAACACGATCTCACAATAGATAAATTAATATTAATGTTAATTTTATTATTATATGACAAGTTCTTTTGTTTTGATTTCGTATCCCAATTGAATCAAACACTCAATAAATTCCTCACACCTGGGTGTTCCTGTACCATCACCATGTTTCTTGAAATGAAAAATTTTCACTTTTCTTTTTTGGTTGTTGTCGATTTTTTATTATTTTTATTATATATACATCCTGATGAATGGGAGGGCCAATGTTGGAATTTTGTAGTTTGTGAAGAGATTTTTACCTTTGGCATGCTATCTTTTTCAATTATTTTATAATCATTTAGATAGATTTATCTAACTAATCAATTAATTAATATAATCAAATAGTATAGACTAACTCTGGTTAATTGAGGCTTTATTTATCATTAAAGAAAAAGAAAGAATAAATAAATCTACAACAATAATAATTTTGATTGGACATAGTACAACATAATAGGCTTTAAAATCAAGCTTTGATTCAACGAGATTAAAAATACAAATAATAATAAATATCGATAAATGAATGGGCTGAATATAATTCAACATAAAAAAACCTTCACTCTTAACAATTCTATGAATGCGCGATGTCGATCGTTGTACGATAAGAAAAAATTTTTTAATAATAATGAAAATAATAACAATGTATTTTTCAAAAAAAATACTTACTAAATTAAATTACAATAACTATTATTATTATAATATACGATTTAAAATGACAAAAAAATCCAATAAAGATTCACAACAAAAAACAGTAGAAAAAAATAATGATAATGAAACCAATAAAAGTCCAATTTCTTTACTTTCAGAGAAAACATATAAAATGAATCTTTTAATTAAACCTGGAGCGAAGGAATCACGGGTTACAAACATTTCAGAAGTTCATGTTGGCTTACAGGTAAAATAAAACATAAACAAATGTATTTAGAATTTTATCATATAAATTTATGATCAATTATAAGATCGCAGCACCACCAAGAGATGGAGAAGCAAATAAAGAAGTCATTTCATTTTTATCCGAGGTATAATTGTAATTCTTTATTATTGGAAATATTTATTATTACTTTTATATTATTTAATATACTCGTTATATATTTTTATAAAGATTTTAAGAATTCGTAAAAGCGATATAAGTTTAATATCTGGAATGAAATCTCGTGATAAAATTGTCAAATTAGAAGGCATAACTCACGATGAAATATTAAATTTATTAAAATCAAACATTCAATAATTTGGAAATTAAAATTTTCATTTTTTATTGAAAGTAAATTAATATATAATTATTCTTTCATGATTCGATCGATTTACCAAGCTATTTTGCAGTTTCTCTTCACTCTCATTGAGTATAAATGCGGCCCTTCCTCAAGCCAAAATCCCAAGTACATATTTAAAGAGACCCGAGTCATTGCTTTACTAGTACTCTTGCATGTCTAGCTTAAATAGTGCATTTTCATGTATTTTCCATAATTAAATTTATGAAGAATGAAGAATTTTTAATGAAATGGCTTTTACCCCAGTGGTTCTGTTAAGAGAGTTTGAAGAAAGATTAAAGATATATATACCCTCCTTGACATGGTTTCCGGGCAAGTTTCAACTTGGATATATATTTTATTATTTATTTATTTATTTACTCTGAAAAGTTTACCGGCCTAATGAATTTTTAGCTATGTTTGTCTAGGACGTTGATGATGCAATGAACCGAGCACACCAAGATATTATTTTCAAAAATACAGCATATATCAAAAAGAAACAAATAAAATTTTATAAAGTTGGTTGATGATGGACTACAATAAAAACGGAGTCTATTGTGTATTCCTTGTGTGTGTGTGTGTGTGTTATGCGTGTGTCATTATTAATAGGAAATTCGATGAAACCTTGACATTTCGGAATCTTACCAAAAAAATAAATTATGAAAGAATTTTTTTTTTATAATTATAATTATTTAAATTAAATCGAAAAAATTATGTAACATCGGCATTTTGCGCAACAAATACTATTATAAAATTTCCAAATTCTTATAAAAACCTTTGTTTCAAAAAATATAATGAATGTCACAATTTTTTTTTTTGTGGGGTAAAAATAAAAACAATTAATTAATATTAATTAATTAATTTTTTCTATTAAGAAGTTATATAAATAGTTTTTTTTTTTTCAAAAAAAATGTATTTAAAGAGAGAGAGATGCGAAGGAATTTCAAAAAAAAAAAAAAAAAAGACTTTTGAAAATTAATAATTTCATCTAATCAAATTAACAACATACATAATATAATAAATATCTTTATCCTAAACTAAAAAATTATCGGTCAATTAATAATACATTTCATAAATTCGAAACTCACTAAAACAATTACAACAATAAAACAAAATGGAATCATTATCGCATGAAGATTTAATAGTAACAGCATTATACGATTTTGAATCAAAAGAATCTTCTTGTTTGAATTTCAAAAAAAACGATAGGATATTAGTTTTGAATCAATTAGAAACTGGATGGTGGGATGGTTTGTGTAATGGTCAACGTGGCTGGTTTCCAAGCAATTATGTAACTACAGCTCAAATTGCTATTGAGCAGGAAACATAATCATCCTCATTATCTTCCAACTAAAAACAATAATCGACTTAGATTTATATATATATATAGATAGATAGAATTAAGAATAGATTTAGATTTAAATTTAGATTAGATATAGATAGACTTAGATTAGATTTTAGAAATATATTTCCTAATAAAATTTAAAATTTTCATTATTTTTTATCTTTACTACAATTATTTTTAGTAAATTTTTGTGTTAATTTTTCAAAAAAAAAAAAAAAAAAAAAACGATTAAAAATTTTCTTTTTTGAAAAAAGTGCTGCATAAAATATTACGGTCATAATTTTTTAAGAGTATACTCTACCATTAAGTTATAACCCGAACTTGACCAAAATTGGGTTTGGGTTTTTGACCAACTCGATACAGGCCTCTAGTATTCAGTGACAACAGAGGGAGGACCTGAACAATCTTAGCAGATGGTGTATTTAAAGTTTAGGCATAATTACTCTTTTTTTTTATGACAGTATATTTAAAAATCAGGTATTGGTATGTTTGAACCGGGTATGGTAAAAAATCGACTCCCTTCAATAACCAGATTATATAAACATGCATGCAAAAGTAAAATATAAATTTTTTTCGATTCATCAATAAAATTGTTTTCATGCATTACACTACTTGAATAAGACACGTAATATTTTGATAACGACAATTCCAAACCATTAACAGTTGGAATAAAGAATTTATATTTGTTATAGAAATTTCAGGAAAAACTGAAGGAAATAATGACAAGCCAATTCGAAGGTGCGTCATCACGAGCTTGCAATAATCTGGACACGTTCAATGTACGTTTTATGCTTATTACCACAAATATTCTTTCTTCTTATTATAAAAATGGTAATTAATAAAATCTCATGGTGAAATAATATCCTATATTTTATGGTCATTTACCTTATTATTTGGGTTTGGTGGTTTTGCATTTCATGATAAACCCATCATCATCATTATATAAACCACATGGTTTATTTTAATTAAGATAGAAAAAATCAATTGAAGGTAATTTTTGGGAAAAAATTGATAATAAAAATTTAGTAATTTTTTTATATTTGAATTTTTGAAGATTTGCTGTTAAACTCCAAATACACCATCTACTAATATTGTTCCAACAGAGACTCCAATATCAGGCGCAAAATTTGAGATATATTGTTTTCTTAACAATGTAGAGGATGAAATCAAACTAGTGATCAATATTATAATAATATATTCTTTATTGATACTTTTTTTTTGGATACAAAAAAAAAAATTTTTCTACAGTAATTATAAATTAGATTCTCCAACATTTTCTAACATATCAAAATGAAATGTTGCAGGCTTAGTAATTACAATGAATTGATGCGATTTGTTATGATGTTCTTTTAAATTAAAAAATATATATTAGAGTTATTAAAATTATCATAGATTATAAATAGAAATTTAATTATTAATAATAAAATTTACCATTTTCAAATAATCCTTCAATAGTACACTCTTCACATAAGTCTAAGCCTTTACAATCCCTGCAAACAAATCGAGTCCCTACTATTGGATTCTTATTACATGAACTACACTATACAATATACAAATATTGTTAGTTAAGAATACCACAAAAAAAATTTCAGATATTAAACTTACAGAATGTCCATAATGTACATGATCTTTACTCTATATATCAGTATATAAATATATAATGAATGAATAATATGAAATTATAAATTATAAAATGATTATTCGATATTTGAAAAAACCTGGTTGATACTATTTTGCTGAAGATTATGCAAGTGATCCATAAAATTTTCATCTGATAATCTATATTTATAATTAGTTTACATTAAAATTATCATTAAAATTTATTTATTCTAAATATATTATTTCCGATAATATTTACATTGAATACCTTTTTTTTCCTGGGGGAAGTTTAGATGTTCTACTATGTTGATTCACTGATGACTTTAATAATAATAAAAAAGAAATTCAAATTCTTTCTTTTTAAAAATATAAAAAACTATTTTTTAATTAATTAATTACCTTCAAATTACTATTGTTATTCCCATTTATTATTAATGAATTATTACTATTATCACTATTAATAATATTATATTTATTATTGGGGGTGTTGGAACTACCCATCATACTACCGTAAATATTATAAAAGGCTGCACTATTTTAGGTAATGTTTATTCATATTGTAACCAAATAAGCGCACGTATAAATTATATTAATTAATTAGATATCATAAGGTATAGCAATATAATATTGAATTTTTACATTTAAAAAATCAATAATAATAATAGCAATAAAATATATTGTCAAACTGCGGACCTGGAGATATAATCATTATTTTTTGATAATCTTCTTCTAGATCTAGGACTTGTAGGTGAAGGTGATTGCTGTTGTTCTTTGATATAATTATCAGTGACGTCTGTTGATCTTCTTTTGGCATGCGATTTTTTTAGAGTTGTAGGTTCTCGTTTATTGTATCTTGTTAAGCCCACTTTTTCAGCACATTGATGCACAAATTCAACAGATTCAATTGGTTCGCACGTTGGCTTATTAGACTAAAATATATTTCTTTTTAATATTAGTTAACATAAATTAAATTCTTTAGAAAAGATATTATTGAAAATTCATACCACTGGAGTAAACTCTGGATCTTTTAAATAAAATAAATTGTTATCTCTTATTTATTAGAAAGATTTTCAGTCCAATTTTATGTGTCACCAATATCTAATTACCTGGTTTGTATTCTGATGGACTTGTATGATACTTTGACCAATCAATTTTTGGAACTTCTAATATATTACGAATTTTTGGCAGTTTTTCATATACCTATTACATATATTATTAATTAATTAAAAAATTTTTCTTCCAAAAAATAAATAATAATTAATCACTCAAACAAACCCCAGCCATAATGCCTTCAACATACTGTATTGGGTCTTGCATTGCTTTCTGTTTCAATGATTTGATTTTCTCTATATCATTTTTTACTAGTCCCAATTGAAATTTTAGAACATTAATTGTTCTTATTATCATTTCATAACTATAATAAATAATGTATATTTGTATATTATGTGATATTACTATTATAATTATACTATTACTATTAATTAACCCACTTACTCTTCATTACTATGCAATAAACTTTCTTCTAAAGAGTATCCTGAACTTTCATTAGAAACAGTAATTTCTGTTATTGTCTCGTTGTTTTCGTTTGTTGATTTAGGCATGTCTTGAGAAGTGTATGATTCTTGGACAATAGAAGTAACTTCTTTTTCCTCATTATCCCTCATTACAAGTAATTGCCCTATGAAAATAAATATACAGAAAAATTATAGAAATTTTATTGGAATCCAATTTAATATGCAAAAATTTACAGGAGGTTTATAGAAACCTTTTATGATTTTTTTGCAATACAAGAAATTTAGAAAATGCAAAAAAAAATAAAAAAAATATACAGGAAATAGGAAATTTCTTAGAGGAAAATATGGAAAATATACAAGAAACAAAATCATTTGTAAAAATATTTACAGGAAGTATATAGGAAATAAATATGCAAGAAACAAATTCCCAAAAAATATAATTATTATTATTGAATTATCTATTTGTCTGAAACGTAAGACTTGTTTCCTATAGAACAAAAAGCAACAATCCATACCAACCACACATTCCACACTTATCTTTTTGAACTGACTTTGTCCATTGAATATATGAGGCATATTATTTTATTTCTGGTAAGTATGTAAGATAAAACATTGCTCTTCTGTTTTTCAAATTTAAAGAAAATCCTTCATATTCACTAGATATTGGATTATTAAGTTTGTTGAGATGATGTTCAATTATTCAATTATCAAAACTTATCAGGTTTTAAATTCTCTTTTATTAAATAAAAGAAGATTCTTCACCACTACTTGTTTCTGATATCTTGTGGCAATAATAAGTTGCTTTGTGAATCTTTTCTAGAAGTATCTTTTTGTCTCCAAGTCATACATTCACACCAATAATCTCTTGCCATATCTAACTAAATATTGTTTTAAAATGATTGATTAACGCAAAAATTTTAACTTTAAAAATAAACTTGAACTTTATATTTAATAAATTGCATAATAATTTATACATTACCTACACCATGGCTAATAATTCTTAAAAAAGTTCAAATAACAAAACAAAAAGAAAAAAATGCTAGAAAAATTGGAGACCCAACATTGAATTTTCAACAATGATTCGCAAGGTACTCCATTTTAGATTTAAGACAAGGAAGAGAACTAGGCGTTCATTATTAATAAACATATTTAGTTTGATTGGAGGTATTATTTGATATGGTTTTGAAGAAGGTATATATATTATTTATTAAAAACCAGAGAAATTTTTTTGCATTAATACTAATACCTTTTTTTTTTTTTTTTTTGGTAAATAGCCTGAACATCTTATTGATAAATATTATATCCTGTACATTACATTGGTAAATATGTTCACCTCCATAAGATTCTTATCGTAATAATCGTAATAATAAACAAATGATTGATTGGTATATTATTGTTAGTATTAAATAATAATAATAATAAATAACTATAAAGGCAAAAAAAAACAACATAATGGAGAAAACCGCTTTTTGGACAGTTTGGATTCACAAATTGGTTATTATTAGTCAGATTAGCAGATAACGTGGCCTTCAAGTTTATTGAAATTGCATTGTTGTTAAAGAGGCTACTAACCTGGTCGGAACTTCGCCCGCCTGTAGAAAGAAATTCTACAATATCGTATTATCAATATCAAATTTATTGGAAATTTAGAGCACAAAAAAAAAATTTCTCATGCCAACTTTTACTTGCCGAGGTATTTTTCAAAGTTTGTTCCTTAAAAGTTTCATTCCTGCATGATCTTAGTATTATTATTATTACGAATAATAACATCAAATACATCGCATAATCATTATGAATATGGAAACAACATTCAAGGAAAGGATTAAATAACAACAAAAAAGACAAGTAATGTTTTTTTATTTTGAAAAGCAACATAACTATTGAAATGGCTCTAAACAACATATGATTATTAGAAGTTTACAGATACGTATACTAAAAATTACTTCAGGGCTCAAAGATTTAAAATTTAATTCCTTATGTAAAAAGATTAATCTGGCCTGATGGCCTTGATGATATGATGCAATTTAATTTCAGGGGGAAGGTGTGGCTTTGAAGTTTATTGTTGTCAAAGAGCCTCTCGCTTGTCCAAAGCCTACTATCATGTTCGAATTTCCTCGCCCGTGGAAGAAATTGAAATTCTAGAGTAATGATAATGGTAATGGTAATGAGGAATGAGGAATGTATTGCATGTCGGTTGCATGTTCGCAAAAGGAGAATCTGACACATCATAAATTTATCCCATTTTTTACATACCAGTTAGTTTTTTGATAAAAAATATGTTGTGGTAATAATAAAATTTTTATTTTTTGTAATAATAACTATAGAAATGGTATGGAAATCATGCGGAACCAGCAGTGCTAAAAATAGGGTTGGAAGTTCAATTGTTATTATTATTACTAACATCTCCACCATCACTGCTATTGCTATTATTGTTATTACTACCACCGTTATTATTACTATCATCACCAGCATTATTAACATCACCGTTATCATTACTATCACCACTGTTGTCATCATCGTTATAATTATTAAAATTATACACTCACTAGTTGATATTGTTGTTGAGATTGGGTTTGGGGTTGGTCGACATTGCCGTTGAGTGGAGGATCTTGTTCTCGTCTCAAGTGTTTTTGTCTTCTTTCGCTCATTTCAATTCAAATTTTTAAAAATCGTGATCAGAGTATAAAAGGTACTTTGATTTTCCAACAAAATTTTTACAGTAGGAAAAATTTCCGACAAAAATTTTATTCATTATCATATTCTCCATATCTTTTTCTCATAAACAATGAACAACAAGTGATTGATTGTAAAGTCATCACTTATTTAACAAAACACCTCTTTTTACCATCATAGATGACAATCTGCCATATATAAAATAACTTGCAGGTATTTTTCAATCAAGACATGGATCATAGCAATGTTTTGAATAAAATCATATATATGGATAGGAATTGAATCTGTTAGAATCTGTATTCTCTTTGCACAGTATCCTTTTCCTCAGAACCCAAATTCAAGCTCAATTATCACCCCACAATCAGTCAAACTAACATACCTCACAGAGCCCCTATGTTATTCATTGGATATAGACAACAACCTGATATATTTTGATATAATTTCTGCACCTTAAAGACTGTAATTAGGCTATTGATACTATACAATATTTTAGATGTATTTGTGAATAAAATCAAATGGTGAGATTCTTTTTTCAGGATAGTGAACCTAAATAGATTCAAACTAAGTTTTTTTAACAATATTCCTTTCCTTTTTAGAAAATCGTGACTTTCTATAGTAGTGCTTCGTATCAACATCATGTAGATAGGAAATGCTTGATTTTTTTCTTACACAAAAGCATGATTAAAAAATATATTCAATAATTATATTTGTTAAATAATAATTATATTTGCTAAATAAAGATTATATATACTATTATGATACAATGCTTTCAAATTGATATTAATATTATTATACTCTATCTCACATGAACTCTTGACTATATTAAAAAAAATAATTATCGGACAATCAATTGATCAATATTGGAGCTTCTAAAATCAAAATTCCTGCGAGTCATGCTTTTTTGATTGAATTACTTTCATTTGACAAAGTTTCAATTTGCTTCATTTTTGTATAAATGCGCAACTATTTGTGATCATACACTTTAAAATAATTGAGAACTTGCTATAAAAATAACTCGATAAACTTGATAGGGATTTGCGAATTTGATATATTATTATTTGTTTTGATGCTTCTTACTAGAGACATTTTCAAATAATCCAACTTGTTTTCTTGTATAACATTCCATTCATGATCAAACATACATGCTATGCAACTAACTGGATATAAGGCTTATCTAATGATCAATTGGCAATCATTGCTGGCCAATAGAAAATTGGACTCTCTGTAGTATACTTGCCCAAAACTGGACTTGGTAGGCATTTCAGAGAGGAGTAAATTTGGCTAACATCAATGTTTTAGAAATTGATGAAATATTTATTATTACATATTAATTAACTTTTACAATAAATATTAAGAAATTAATAAATAAATTAACAATTATTCTTTTTCTAGATTACTTGGAAAGTATTTTCCTTCCATTCCAATTACACTGATCAATTGAGGATGAACTTCTACTTGAAATGGTTCAAATTTAAATGATTCACCATCAATACTAATATAACCACTCTTATTTTTTGGTGTTAATCTAAAAGCCTCAATTTTATAATATTCAACCTGCAATTAACATACATAAGACGTTTGTTTAAGGTTAACAACATTAATATATAAATCAAAATATTTATTTATTTTACCATAATTTTCAGTACACACCTCATTTTGATCAAAATGACTACCAGTTTGAGCATTAGAAAGAATATCAAGTGCTCTTTTCCTATTAACAGCATCTCGTTTGACAAGGGTTAAATCCAATAAACCATCATTAGGTAAAGCTGCAGGAAAACATAAAAATCCCTTGCCTACCCATGGAACTTTACCAGTATAAAACATAAACAAATCATCATTGATAATTTTCCAATCTTCAGGTATGTCATCATTTACACTTCCATATTTGTCAACTATTTTGGGATTAGTTGGTGTTGATATAGGCAATGATGATTTATAAGAGTTTTGATAAGTTCTTTTTATTGTTTCTTTATTTTCCTCTGAAATTTTAATAGCCAAATCACATTTATATCTACGACCTTCTAGAATTGCTTTTACTGCACCAATTATAAAACGAAGATCACCCATCCATCTATAAAAAATATAAAGTTTTCAGATTTTCCTTGTTTTTTTCAATAATGAACAAAAATAAAATTCATGATACCTCATATTTTCAGTTCCTAAATCACAATCTGCACTTATTCCATAACTTTGTGTTAAAAATGAAAAACATCTTTCTTTGCCCTGAGTAATAGAACAGATATCAATGTCTAATTTTATGCCTAAATAAGAGACAATAGATATATTTAACTGTATATACATGTACATGAAATGAAATTGATTTAGGTTTTCTTATTTTACCTTTAATAATAGCAAGAGCAGAATATGTAGGATTTAAACCTAATACTTCACCATGTAAACTAATACTTAAAGCATTACCACTACCTTAAAAAATGAAGATTATAAAATAAATATTTATTAGAATTATTATCAAAAATAAAGTAAATATACCTGAAGGAATTACACCAATAGGGATATTTCTATAATCTTTATGTGTTAAAAGTCCATTAACAACTTCATGTATAATTCCATCACCACCTACAGTAATTATTGCATCATATGACTTTAATTCAAGTCCCTGAACAATTTCATTGCCATGATTTTTATGCTGAGTATCTATTGACAGTAATATTATCAAGTTGTTATTAACTGGTTTAATTTTAGGTGGAAATAAACTATAAACTGAAAGAAAAATAATCAAGAGAAAGTATTTCTTACAGGTTACATCATAAGTACATTTAGCAGCATCAAAGACAGGCTTAACTTCTTTTACAAAAACAGCATGGCTCTTTTTTGTACCACTGTTGGGGTTCACAATTACTTTAAAATGTTTAGTTCCTCCTAATTAAAAAAAAGAATTTTAATAATAATAATCATTGTATATAATGGCTATTGTTCTTTAGAAATCGTTGTTGTTACCTAAACAGATAGCATCATTAATTGAATCAGACCATGATTTTACAGTTGTAGAATCTTCTGGTTCAAAAATAAAAGACATCAATTGATGTTTTTGTTTTCCTTCTTTTGTAACAGCTTTGATGGTAATGAGAGACTTTTCATCCAAAGATAAGTCGAGAATGTTTTTTGCAGGAATTTTTATTGCTTTATTTATATTAGTGAAAATGGATAGATAAGTAAAATTTAGAAAAGTTCAAAAAGAGGGATTAAAAAACATCTTACCAGCTTTGGCTTGTCGCTCTAGATTGAGTGTGTTGTCAGTAAAACTTAAAATTCCAACATCTTTACCATATTTTACTTGTAAAGGTTTTATTTCTGACATTTTTTTTTTTCTTCCTAGTGCTGAATTTTTTTGCGCAATTGAGAAAAAATACACCAAAAATTAATATGTATTTATCCAGATTATATATACACATATTTCCGATGTGCCATGCTCATGATCATCAAATTACACGTATTACGTTACGCGTGAAATCCTGTAATCCTGTAATCTTGTTTGATGTAACATAATTTACTAAAAACAATTTGGATCATTAATTGCTTATACATCAGGAAATTTTTTCTGACGCAAATTTATGTAATATTATGGGGCCCGCCATAAACTTACATAAATAGTGTAATAT